CAAAGATGTCTCTTTTCCAGCAATTAATTTTAAAAGATGAAAATGTGCAAAATGAGGTCACAGTAGAAATTTCAGGAAAATGTCAAAAAGTACAAGTTGCTGTTGGTATGTGCTATCGAGTCATATAAAAAAATTATAAGCTATATTAGCCTTAAACCAGACATATGATATGGAGGAAGTTCAGAGGAGAGTCTTAGAACTGGTTTCAGTACAGTATTTTTCTATAAGTGTCAGGAATGGTGCTTGATCTCTTCACTCACTTGAGGAGGGTTTGAAATATTTTCCACCAACACTAAGAGAGGTTGAAGGATATAACAATAGGAAATTGTTCTAAGTAGGATAAAAAAAAAACTGAAAGAAATACCAACTGCATTGTGTTGCCACTCAGCAGATTACATTATTCAGAGCTGGAAAGGGAAAGCCACAGAGTCCTTTGCCTACACATTTGTCTCCTTGGTGCAAGTGGTTATTGTTCTGTACCCTGTGGTAGGATTAGAAATACCACTGGGGAACCAGTACACAGAGTTGTTATGGAAACCAGAAAACTTTCGCTCACTTATTTACAGAGAGCTTTTAGGATTACCACATTCAAGACAAATCAATTCTATTTTCTTTCCTCTGCACCAGTGCACCTCAGTCAAATCTCTGTTTTGAAGGTCTTTCACTTGGCTGTCCTTAATTGAATAGACAAGAGTCCATTGGCTACGGTCGCATTGCAAAAGCATAACGTGTGGCAGTCATTGTTACATGTTTGAAGCTTGTTCACACTGGCCTCAACCAGTGTCGAGTTTGCTGGGTTCTGTAATATCAGAACAAAGTGGCTGTTGACTACGACGTTTCACTTCAAGCAGAGAAACGTTTGCTCCCAACATCGCTGCTGCCTGTCGTTCAAAAGTGATACTGCAAGACTTGCCTTCGTTTTCCACTCACCTCACTTTGGTATGACAACAGTGACAGTCATCTCTGGCCATCATTGTTGTCTTTGAATTGGAATATTTCTGACTATCCATCAACACCTTTGAAAAAAAGTTTGTGTATGAGACAGAGTTTCTTGTTTTGTTTTGGGGTTTTTTGTTATGTTTTGTTTTGTTTTTTTGTTTTTTTTTTTTGAGAAGACAGTTGTGCAATGAGGATATTCATAGCCTTTGAGGGATCTTTTGAGCCATTTGATGTCTCAGCAGATGAAACTGTGGAAGCCATCAAGCTGATGATAAAGGTACGTGTTCAAGCTAGAAAGATGTGTCTTAATTGTGACTGTGCAGCATAATTAAAAATGTTCATGGAGTATCAATGTTACTGGATCTATTACTATGAGTTGAAAGTTGATATGCTTGCACCTACCAACAATAACATCAGGGAACTAAAATTCTTCAAAAATATAATGATCTTCCTATTCAATAGCTTGATATAAAGACAGTAACTATGGAGGTGTTAGGCAGGAAAGCAAACTACACCAGTAAGTTATCAGAAAAAAAGGTTTCCGTTCTCTTTAGAGAACGTGTGGGTTGTACACAAGCCAGCTGGTACTACTGCAAGTCTTCATAAAAGGACATTAACTCAAAGCTTTTTAAATGGACTGTGTCTATCTTCAGATCGATGCCTTGCTCGGTGAGCAAATGATTGTAAAGAACTAAAAGGACTTTGCAAAGGCAAAGATCTTTAGAGTTTCTGAGTCACTGCTTAGCTGTATCAAGGTGAAACTGAAGCCCAGATGGAATAACCATCACACTTCATTCCAAAGCCAGAGTAAGAAGCCACGTGAGTGCATAATCTTCTTACAAAGCATGTTGGTGGCACAGTGGACTAAGCATAGGACTGCCAAATGAAAGATGGGATATTCAAACCCACCCGCCACTTCACAGGAGAGAGATATGACATTCAGCTTCCACAAGGACCACAGCTTCAAACCCCTTATGGGCAGTTCTATGCCACCCATTACCCTGAGTTGCAACCAGGAGCAGTGAGTTTGGTTTTGTTTTAACTCAAGTTTCTTACAAGTATTTATTCTAAAATGGAGAGTTGAGTCAAATGTTTGGGTCTTCACCATAAAATTATATTTAATGTGCAGGAAGTGATTTGTTTTTGTTATGTGCCGTTGAGTCGCTTGTGACTC